CTGAATTTCGACCAATCATCGGCCAGTAACTCTTTCATGAGAACGGATGAAAGGGGAATGAATGAGGGGTAAACATTTCCCATCTGAGCGGGATTTTAACCAGATAAGGGAAAGTCAGAGGATGTTCTAACTTCTGTGAAAGGAAGTAACATCTGTTATCTGCCTTTCCCCACGTTAAAATATTATTTTTCTCACCAAAAATGAAGTAATATTTGGTGACAATATTTTACATAATTAATAAAATTATTAATTTAGACCCAGGGGCCTTACAGGTCTCATAATTAATTTTATGGAAGAAAATCTTTCAAACAGCCATAGTCCGTAAACTTGACACGTGTCGAGTTGTGATTGGAAGGATTCGTAAGAAATCGGATTTCTAAAGAATGGAATGTATCTATATCTTATAGGGGGGTCGACTGTAAATTAAATAATTCAAAAACATACAGAATAAAAAAAAACCAGACATCTTGTAACTGTAAAGATGACTGACTAGAAATTCTTTAATTTTTTGCATATTTCTCTCAAAAAAATTCTTTCAGATGCATGACTTTGCTTGTTATTGTTTTGATTTTTATAGCAGTATTGAAAATATTTTACAGTGACAACAATGAAAGTATTAACAAATCTGTTTAGTTTTGTTAAAGATATGATAAAGTATATTTTGTGCATTTAAAAGATTTCTCTAATTTTTATAATATACAAAAAAAAAGTGAACAGACTTCCCTCTAAACTTTTATTCTGTTCACTTTATATTTTTATAATTGCTTCACTTTACCAAAATATTTATTTCATACTATTGAATGCATCTATTTTTGTTTAAAAAAAATTATTATAGCTTAGTTTTAATAAAACCTAAATTTCATGGTATAATTATTACTTTTTAATTAAATGTAATAACACCAAATTGTTTTCAAAATTGCAGTTAAGTATCTTCTATTGAACATATTCCTTAACTAAAACAATTATCATTAGACTATTTTAAGTTAATTTTTTTAAATCTTTGCTAAAAATTGCTTATTTTTTAAATTGAGTATGAAAACAATAACTTTTAATGGGAAGATACTATGCTTTTTTAAATTGAAGGAAAAAATCTTTAAATAGTTGTATTATAGAATAATACTTCTAGTTTTTTTTCCCTTTCAATTTGTTATGCATCAATTAAATGAATGGCGAAAAGACCAAGGCAAATTGTTCAGTTAAGTGAATGCATGGCAGCTCAAGGGTCAAATAATACTTTTAATAGTCAGTTACCAAAGAGAACTTACAATGATGTAACATGAAATGTTAATAATGATTATCGAATATTTAAATAAATATAATATTAATAAAATGTTAATTATACACATCGTTATTATAAATGTAATTTTTATTAGCTAATATACAAGGTAGATTCAATAAATAAGATTAGTAGCACTGCTAAAGAAAAATAAGTATACAAGATTAAAACTAATATTAAAAGAGTATGTAGTAATGCAATAGTATTAAAAGTGTATACAGTAATGCATCTCTCTACCAATAATCTTACAAAATTACAATGCCCGTGTATTTTTGAACATGTTTTAAATGTCTAAACCTTATAAATGAAAGATAGATAAATATCTTTATTTGGATATTGTTGTATTTTTATAGACAGTTCTTAGTGTAATTAATCTGTATCATTATCAAAAGTACAAGTAGAATTAATATCAAGTAGCTAAATCAATTATATCATCAGATTAGCATGAATTTTTCTTTTATCTTTTATTTTAATAAAATAACTATCAAAATATAAAATTGACTTAATTTTTAATTAGATTTTCAAATTAAAACTTTTTTTTAACTTTAGATACAACACAGTCAACATTAACTTCTATTCAAGAAAATGGTCTATCATTATCAATGGCTTCTTTATATTCAGGTATTTCTTTCTTATAATTATGAAAAATTATTTTGTAGTTCTATAATTGTTTAATTTTAGATGCAACTCTTAATGTATTTACTTTACATGATTTATATGAACATAATTTGGCAGATCTTTAGAAAGTTAGTGTCAATATGTACAGGGTCCTTACAGATCTGAAAGTCAGGGAATAAGATTGTTAGTAGAAAAAGTCATGGAAAGTCAGGGAATCTGCAAATACTGCAGAATCTGTATGTTGCTCTCACTCACTTTTGATCCAAAAATGTCTTTAAATTCAGTTTGGTATAGGAAGGTTTATGAAAACTGGAGCAACCAAACAAATGACAAGATTTTAGTGCTTTGCAAGCTTTGTAGTCCGAAACTATAAATGATGGATTTAAATTTTGTTGCATAGAAGGTTTACATCCATATTTAAAATAGTAGGTATTGGGGGTGTGCAGCTATGTGGGGAGGGGGAGGGGTAGCAGTTGCATGTGAACACTGAAAATGGCAATGCAGTGTGGCATTCGGACAGTGGAACTGAATCACGAAGGGATAGGATATTGAAATTTATGTTGATTTGTACAGAACGACTGATAAAATTGAATTTGTAAAGTTATGAGCCAATAGCTGTGTGAGTCAAAGAAAATTTTCATAATGTTGAAGAAATTGCAAAGGAAATATGAACAGAAATGTAAGAAACATATATCATTGGAAAGAAAAATTTAAAAGGAATCAGAAAAGCCCAGAATGACTAATGCCAAACAATGCAGATTATAGAGAGCATAAGAAAGCCAAGTGTGTCAACTCCGATGCTAATATTTCGAGTGCACCACCACATAAACAATAGTATTGATTGATATAATAGTATATATGTGATAACCAGCAAGACTTTGTTTACATCTTATCCTTCCTCTAATAACACAGATGGATTCATACTTTAAACAATTGTGATTGTGTCCCATACACAACCCTCTCAGTTTTTTTACCTGCACGTCTGGTTAACCCTTTGCATTGGTTAATGCTGTTGGGAGGCAAAAAACTCAGTTGACTTTAAAATATTGTGTATGGGACATTTTAAACAGTGTGAGACCACTTGTGCAATTTATGTATTTTTATTCATTGTATTCTTGCTGCTGGCCACATACAGCATGTGGAGATAATAATCCTGCCAATTTTGACGGATTGATGATCTGTGATATGTCTTCTCTGAAACTACAAATTTTCACCTTTAGATGGCCTGCAGAATTTCGGAAGTATACCAAAATATTGCCATAGAGTTAATCGGGTTTTTAAAAACATTAACACCGACACTTTTTTGGCCAAAACACTCTTAAGGAATGTAATGACCTTGAATAGGCTCATGCTGAACCAAAATAGCGCACACTAAACTATTTCTCCCTCTCGCAGAGTGCATGATTTATTCTGCTTAAATTATTTTGAATTTCCTGCCTCCTCACTTCAAGAAAATTATATTTTACAACACATGTTTTTTTTTTTATTTAAACAAAATTTACGAATTGAATTAAATTAAATCATGAAATTATTTATACGACACAGAAATGATGTAGCTAATTATGTAATTGATTTTATGCAAAGTTTTTCATTTTTTTGTAAGTGAATAAAATGTTTGTAATAAAAAACTTTATATGATTGTGTACAAAATGGGCTTAAATACACTTGGCCAAATATTACATAATGGAAATGGGAGAACAGAGATGTTAATAAGTCAGGGAATAATGTCATAATTGGTCAGGGAATCAAAGATGGAATTACCTGTACAGACCCTGTATGTAAAATATTGCATATAATTTTTTTTTATCTTTTCTATCTATATTGTTTTTTCTTTTCTGTTATCTTTCATGTTCATATAAAATATTTTTAATCAGATGTACTGTACTTCTATTAAATGATTTACAGAATTATGAAACAAAACACACAACTGACTCAAATCTCACTCAGGAAATCAAAATACTCCTTGAATGAGGTTTCCAGTATCATTCAACAAATTTTATTTTATAAAATCATTGGGCTTTCTCCTATTGAAAATGCAAACTACATAATTAGCATCTGGAATCAATTTCTAATTTTTGTTTTTAAATCTATCTGTTGAATTTAACTTTAAATTTAGTGTGTCTGTACATGCTTATACTTTGTATGTATAGAAACACAGTAATGAAATTCAGAGTTTCTCAATTACTGTATATATTATGCATTTTACAAAAGTGGAAATTGATTTACTATATGTAATATTTCTTTTAATTACAGATAATACATCTAAAGTTGTGTATTTAGATAGACAGAACACCAAATAAAATGTTACCTTTGTCATGATATTTTTTTTAAGTTTGTACATTTATGATTAACTTGAACCATATTTGGAATAGAAATTTTTGATAATGAAAAATAAAAATAATTTTAACTTTCTATATTTTTAAATATTTACTTCATTTTTTTTAAAATTCTGATTATAAATTATTTGTAGTTTTGTTTCATTATTTCCATTGATTTTGTATAGTTGAAAATCTAAAATTTTAAATGTAACAAATCCATCAAGAACACAAGTAACTTCTTTGGAAAGAAAATATTAGCATATTCAAGGTTTTTAAAATAATTCAAAAAGAATAAAGAAGCCATATTTTTATAAAAGCATGTGTATTATTGAATGGAATGATTTTCTTTAAAAATTAAAAATTAATATTTTTCATAATTGTCTTCAGTTATGTACGAGAAACATTCAATAAGTAAGTTATACTTGAACAATGTAGGTCAAGAACACTATTGAGAAAAGTACTACCATACAATACAACACACATACACCACCACTATTTCTGTATATAATTACTCAATCGCTTAAACATTTTTCAGAATGTTGCACTAATTGTACAATGCTCTGACAATAGTCACTCCTTAGTCATGAAGCTGGTGGAGAACAGTTGTCTGAACCTGGTCATTGTTGACAAATCAGCATCCACCCAGATGTTGTTTCAGCTTTCCAAACATGAAAATCAGAAGATGCCAGATCAGGATTGTAGACTGGTTGCTGCCAGACCTTCCATCCAAAACTATGAATAAAGCCTATGTTGTCCATGACTTATGAGGTGTTGAATTATTATGCAAGAAGAAGACAATGCCTTTTTTTTAACTTTCCATGCCTCTTGTTTTTCACAGCTTTGCACAAAGCCCTTAATGTTTTGCAGTACAACTCAGCATTAATGGTTGTGCCATTCCACATAAATTTGGTGTACACAGCTCCTTTGCAGTTGAAGACAATGGCCATGACCTTACCTGCTGATGAGGCAACTTTACATTCTGTTCTTGTATAGAATTAAAATAGATGATGAGAGATCAGAATATAAGAATAGAGGAAATAAATATAGCAAACACTCATCTGAAATACAGTTAAAAAGATGATTATAATACTAGTATATAAAACCAAAAAGTGATCTCACACCATCAGAAAAAATATATGGATGCAAGTACTAATAATTTTAAAAACATATAAAATCTAAAAAGAAAATTAGATTAAATAGACCATTTCTGATTTTAAATTTTTCATGGACAATAAAAATATCTATATAAATGATTTCTACCAAGCTCTTGGCACAAAAAAATTTGTTAAATGAAATACTGTTTCCAAAATATACATTTGGTACCCAAACATAACATTACTTTAAAAATTATATTTATTCTCCAGTTAGAAAATATTTAACAAGCTTTAATTATTTATTTTCTTTTTATATAGTATAATTAAAAAAAATTAAACATAGCAGAAGTTAATGGGTACAAATATTTTAATTTAAAATGATAAATAAATAAATGAAGAATACAAATAAATTTGAGCATGATATATTTAAGCAAAAAATATAGTACAAATAGTATAGTATAAAATAAAAAATTTTAAATTATTCATTTAAAAAATTAAACTAGGTTTTCTGTGATTATATTAAGCAATATTTCATATTTTTTCAGCTGAAATTTTCAACACAACTTAAGTTTCTTTACTAACAATTTGACCTTTAGGGATGAATTCATAGTGAATGAAATAAGATTATTAGTATTGCCTTTTATTTTGATTTTTCACCCCTGAACTACTCTAACATGGTGAACTAGGTGACTTTTGCACTGACACTCATGTTTGGAGTGGATATCAGAGGAAGTACAGTGTTTTGTCACTGGTGATCATTCTGTTCATTATGTGAGGATTGACCATATTTGTCACTAAGTTTGTCCATTAAAGCCCTTAAAACAAGCTACTGGCAGATACAATGTGTTTAAGTTTTTGCTGAATAATGAATGTGCTGAACTGTTAGAAATTTTCAAAACACTTGCCAGGTTGTCAATAGTTTGTTTGCAATCTTGTCAGATCTCTTCCCTTACTCAGGGTATCTACTTGAAACCATGAATTTTGTTAAATGGTAATATTTTCTTTTTACCAATAATTAACAGAAAAAAATTTTCAGTTTCTAAAAGGAAATAATCACTTATACCTTATTATTAACTAATGCAAAATATTGAGAATTTATTTTGTACCAGATATTGGGTGCAAAACTTTCACTCAAAAATTAGGTAGCTAGATATCTAAGTGTGTTTTTATTTACAAATGTGTTCAATAAAATTCCTGAAGTAATTTTAATTTAATGTATTAATTAGCCTATTTAAATGAATCATTTGTATTATAAATGAAGATTTATACAAACTACAACTTTACCAGCAAAAGCAAATATAAAAAATGATTTACTTTCATTTTTGATTATCTTCTGTTTCACAAAAAGAGAACAATGAAATGAGCAATCAGTTCTATATGAATGAAGATAAATGTTGTTAGAACAAAATGGCTGCTAATACAATTAGTCCCCTCAATTGAAATAAATAAACAGGTTTGTGTGGTCTTCACATCCTTAATTTTACTTTTTTACAAATGCCTTACAGTTTCTGTTTTTAAAGTGATTTCTATATAGTGGTGCCTTCATATTTAATGCTTACAAAATACTCATTTAGATATATTTAAAACAGCAGGGATACACAATTTAGGATTAAAACAACAATTAAATGCCATAATATTAAATTAAAACACATTACTTGACTTACAAGAAACTGACACTTTCTTCCCTCATATTTACATGTAATGTAAAAATCCAAATGTTAGGTTCATTTTTAATCTATCTTATTATATTAAGGAATAACAAGATGCTTCTTTCACTAATATGAATCCACTATTATACTCAGTCTTAACTAAGCTGATTGTGACATCAGCATTTACATAAAACAGTAGTTATATCTTTACAGTGTACTTGTTTTTAAGTTTTCATAAGTTAATAGTTTTAAAATAAAGTATTATCATGTTGCTTATTGTTAATAATTATACAATGTAAGGACTTCTCTAAATGAATTTTATGATGGAACTATATTGTGTACAAGTATATTTGAGTTCTTTGGTAGTTTGCATATCATGATAGATTTGTGATGTCATGTCATCTTCGACATCAATATCAACTTAGTTGAGACAGAGTATAGAAACTAATCAAAGAAAGGACATGGTTAATCACTGGTTTAGAAATATTTTATTGTTGACATTTCTTCTGAGATATTAACTCTAAGTGATATATTTTAAATCTAGAGTTTCACTGAATATCTTTATGACAATATTTAAAATAGTGAAGAAGAACTCATTCTGTAATAATAATTGGAACACAACACTCAACTATCTTATAAGTTCAAATTTTGTAATTTTTAGTAGAAATTAAAAAATAATTTGTGTTTGTATGATGATGATCATCATTATCTATTCTAGGGAGTCAAATTGGATTTTAGAGAATGTTGTCAACATTTGTTTAAATATTTTAAATTGTTTTTAAAAATGAAAACAACTGGATTAAATTTGCTAATTAAGAAATTAAAAACACCCAAAAACAGCATTTAATGGTTTTTGATAAAGTATAGAATAATAATTTTGCAAAAGCAAAAATAAACAAATGTAAAATACACAATATTTGTTTTTGCCTAAATGTTTTAGTAATTATCCTGTATTAATCTAATAATATTTTAACCTATATCAATAACCTATACAATATATTAATTATAAAATCTACCAAAGAATTATTAAGTATAATATATTTATAGATGCTGACATACAAAGAATTAATTCGGTTCTCCCTCAAAATACAAGCATTGAACAACCAGCAAAATCGTATGTAAAAATTTTCATTTTTAATAATAACAATAATGGTAATAACATATGTACTTCAACTTGAATTAATTCTATAGTACCATATCTGTGGACACAAATGGACAGTTATCAGCAGAATCTGTTGCTCTAAATCTTCTAAAGAAATTTTCTGAAAAGCAACTTCCTAAAGCATCAGATTTACAATGGCTTGTTTCTGAACGGGATGCTCCACAATCAGTGAGTAATTAAATATTTATAATAGTAAAAGCATTGTGTTTTTTAACTCAAAACATAACAAAGAATGAGTCAAAATCCTGTAAAAAATTTTAAATTCTAATAAAAATCAATTGGTATTATTTTAAAAAATTGTAAATAGTGTAGAAATTAAAACTTGATCCAAGAAACTAAATGTAAAATGTTGCAAATATTTTATTTGAATATCTTCTAATAAATTTAAATATTTGGTAGATGTAAACAGTTATTTAGTGCAACAAGGTTTGAAGTAGTGTGTCTATGTGTGTGTGTGTATATATATATATATATACAGTGGAACCCCGGTTAACGAACTTAATCCGTTCCGCGACTCCGTTCGTTAACTGAATTGTTCGTTAACCGAAGCAATTTTTCCCATAGAAATTAATGCAAATGCAATTAATCCGTTCTAGTCTCCGAAATTTTTGTGATTTAATTTGTAATATACAGTAATTTTCTTTGATGAAAATGTAGGAAAACGTAGTATCTATCATTACAGCAACAAACATGTAAACTTTGTTTAATAAAATATACTGTACATACCTTCGTTTGTTGTAGTTGGTGGCAGAAAAGTGGAGATATACGAACCTTAATGCTTAGAAGGGGAATCCCCTCCAAAAAAAATAACGGGTAGCACTTCATCGGAAGATTCTTTGAGTTGAAGTCTCTTTCGGTAAAAAAAAAATCACCAATGGCTAAGTGGTCTTCGTACCTTGAACACGGGGAGTTCGTTCACGGGTTCGCACCTTGTTCAGATGGGCTGACCATATGGTGTTTTCCGGGTTTTCTCCACGTCTGTAACGCCTAAATAGGGGCCAGTTTTCCTTAAAAACACCTCCCAAAAGGCATTCCCCCTAGGCAGATAGCCCAAGTGTTGCGTTGCCATAACTTAACAAACAAACAAACTCTTTCCGTAAGGAACAAGAAATTGATCTAAAGTTGATTGTCTTATTCTTTTAATCAAANATTTATTAAATATTGTAATTTGGAGAATAATTAAGTTGAATAACTTGAAGGAATAATTTGCATTTATTTTAACAGCGAGAATTATTCCTATATCAGATTACAGATTGTAATAGTTCTTGACTTATTAAACAATTAATACAATAGTAAGTACATTACATAAGTTCAAAATTAGTTATAGGAAATAAATGTTACATTATATTTAACTTATTCTAAAAATATGTATCTGTTGTAGTTTAATTGCTTGCATATTGATAGCTTGGCAATCGTGTGTTTTTTTGCTACATTAAGATGCTCTACAATAATAAATACCGATACATTTAATACTAAGTTGTATAGTTAGGTAATTTCTATCATAATAATCTTATATATCTTCGAATAAAGCAAATTTATTTTTATTTTATGAACTAAAATCCTGTATTAAATAGACATTTTTAAATCTCTGAGAAATTATACAATTATTTAATTACATTTATTTTGTAATCCCTAATCTTCATTTTATTAAAATAAATTAATATTTTATTCAGTAAAAATGTCTTTGTAATGTGACTAAATGAAACAATGTTGTTTATTTTTTCCATTATTAAATTATTTTATCACTAAGTATTAATATTGTGGACAGAAAAATATTTGATATTTTTATATGTTTAGAAGTAGATTAATAGTAAAGAAAATAAAAGAGCAGGTTTTTTTTATATTAAGGGATTATAAAATTACAGTAAGATCATTTAAAATCATTTTTTTATGATATTGGAATCCAATTGCTAATGAAATATTGTTGATTCAAATACTTATTCTTTTGGAAATTGTTGATCTTTCTGAAAATTTTTAATATATGTATCCTGAAAATGTTGACTAATCCTTGAAGAACTTTGTGTTCCAATTAAGTTTATTTTATAAAGAAGTTTATCAATTTGGCACTGTCTGAAAAGAAGCCAGAAGTATGGAATTCTTTAATATTCCAACACACTAGTAGGCCATATGGTAAGCTAAGACTCTGGGTGAAAATTTAGGTGAAGATGGGGTGTGGCTCTGCACTTTACTGTCCTGACTAATGTTTTCTTTTCTGTAGGCCAACACAAGGGCAACTCATCTAAAACAGGTTTCTCAAACTTTATTTTCCAGACTTGTCATATATACATATCTATAAAATAATGTTACATGCACAAGAATCATTTTGAATGTTGATTTGTGCAAAAATGTGTTTGTTAATGTTTTTGCAGATTTTTCAATCAATTTTTAACATTGTATAGTTATTATATTTTACAGATTTATTAAATAGTGTGCATAAACAAATTGGAAACATACAGCACAAAATGTACAGCAATATCTGCAACATTCAGCATGCATATCAAATCTTGTGAAAATACAGAAATGTCTGATAATCTGACACCTACTTTGAAGTGCCAGATTAAAAAAACTTTACTGTATAATATAAGTAGAAATATTGAAATTTTCCTGTTAAAAGTAACATACTAACATACCTTTGCTAAATTATTAAATTTAGGCAATATATATATATATATATATATATATACATTTTTAACTATTCATAACTATTTATTTTTGTATTCTCTGCACAAAATACGCAAGTTAAAAATACAATATGAAATGTCACTTATAAATAATTTGTTACAATTATCATTATCTTCAGGTAAACAAACATTTTAAGCTATCTTTTTGTCTGTAGTGTTCTCCCCAAGCTGATTTTAACAGCTTGTTCAGTTATCTGAATATTTTTCTAACCAGTCAAAATTGTTAATTTTATTTAGCATTTTTTAAAGAAATAACCTGATTATGATTTAGCATGTAGTCGAATGTTGAGTATTGTTTTGTTGAAATTAACTGAGGTTTATAAGGAAATTTACAGTAGCAGCCAACTCACATTAATAAAAATTAAAGTAACAGTTTAGACCTGGGGTGTCCAACTTTTTTGTTTCTCTGGGCCACATTGGAAAAGTCAAGGAGTTTTGGGCCACAAGTATATATAATATATACTTGTGGCCCAATATACAAGTATATTTAAGGATTAATATGTCTACATTATAATAATAAGTATTAAAACTTTATCACGAAAAAGGATATTTTAAAAAATTACTTCTACAGACACTTTCAATTTTTACTTAGAAATAGATAAATTCATTTATTATAAAAGAGAAAAAACACNTAAAAAATAATACAGTAAAAATTTTAGGTTACTAAAAAAAATTCATTTAGTTTTTATATTCTATAAAAAATTGTTTTTTACTTAGTACAAGAACAGAACAAGTTTTTATCTATAAAGTAAATCTGTATTAGTGCTGTGTAAAATATTTTTTTCTTAAACTCATTACATAATGTTTTTTTAATATAATTAATATTCTGATGATAAAGCTTCTATAAGTGATTGAAATCAAGTAAATATTTTTGAGATATTTATTTCTTGACTGATTATGTGAAATAGCTCCTTATAGGTTATGGTAATAAGAATGAATTGCTCTATCAAGCATAATTATTAAAGATAACATAAGGGAAACAAGAAATAGCATTGTTAAAATCAATGATAATTAAAATTATAAATTATTATCTAATTTTTTTGTGATTTGAAAATATTAAGACATTTGTCAACAATATTCTCAATATTCAAGCTAATCATACAACGTTTAAAACAGTTTTGTAAACAAATTGATTTTCCCCCCTACTTTTTTTAATATTTTATTTAATCAAGAAATTTTGATTAATTTATGAAACTGTTTTAAATTAGAGATAATAATAATAATTTACAGATTATTTATTTAATCATAATCAAGTAGCAAATAAGTTTGCAAACAAACACAAATTATTAGACATCCATAAACCATACTACAAATACATTCCACTGGCAATATTGGAAAACAACATGCACAAAATGTACTATGTACTATGACAGAGTACACAGATAATCACAGATAAAACAATTTACCACAACAGACCAGACATCATATTCATTGACAAACACAATAAAATCACATACATTATAGACATATCCATCCCAAACACTCTCAATGTAAAAACACATGCACTGAAAAAATCAGCAAGTACACAGAACTTGTTCAGGAAATAAGGCATCTGTGGAGGATTGATAGGAAGCTTATTGTACCTCTGTCATTCTCTCCTCTACCAGTGTCATACCCCCACACGCTATACCTGGGAACATTACAGTTGAACAGAAACACATACACCACACTACAGAAGAGCACTGTATTGAATACATCATATTGTTATGAAATTCCTGAATACTGAATACAGACACATACCCTTTGTTTTGGTTGCTATGCCTTGACTCTGGTTTGGCATAGTACACAGTAACTGGTGTCAACCAAGTATAACCTACTACACCCAACATAATAATAATAATAATTGTGTACTTTAATAGAGCAAAAGGTTAACAGTTTTTATTAAATTTTATAGCTATTACCACTCCCCGATTCTTGGCCAGTTTCTCCTGACATAGTAGAAGAAGAATATAGTTCAGAAAAGGTTGGTATATTAAATATCAAAAAAATTGCATTAGAGAATGGCAAATCTTGTTATTTCATAACAATAGAAATTAATATATGTTAATTATTCAATTAGAAAAACTTGATTTAGTATTCAATGGTTGCTGCTGAACAATTATATCTAATTATACGTTTATATTTATAAAGTAGAAAAGAAAATTATTCTTAACAAGAGCTAATTTGTTTCTATTCATTACATAAAAATGTCATTTTAATTATCTTATAAAAAATTATTTTTTGTAAAATTCATTTCTGTTGTTAAATAGCATAAAAACAGTAGTATGTTTAATATATTAAATATTGTGATATCTTATGAATTATAACTTTTATTATATTATTCTAAATATAAATAAAATAACATTAAAAGGTTTTAAAATAAGAACACAATACTCAGTTGCCTATATAACTTAATATATATACACAGTGTTTCTTATTAAACATACTATTATTGTGCTGTATAATATAAATTTATATAAATGGACTAGAATGATAAAATAAAAAGAATACTATTCAAACAATAATAATCCTTTTAAAACTAATTTTTTAGTTTTGTAATTATAAAAGGAACATCAACAAAATAATTTCTTTATATTGTATAATAGATATTTTATGATTGTTTATTTTTATATAAAATTAATGTAATTGAATTTTTATAAGCATTTAAGAGTTAACTTTAAATTGCGAACTGATCTGATCAAAACTTTTACAGACCAGACTCCGAGGAAACTCAGAATGGGCTCCTCCAAGAGCCCAGATTATATTTAGCATTCATCCAGAGCCACTGTATGTATTTATTTATTATAGTAAATATTGTATATATGTGTAAAATAAAAAGCAAAATTTCCAAAAACATTCATTTTGAGAAATAAGAGAAATAATTACTTTTCTTTTTACCTAGGAGAAAGGTACTGATAGCAAAGCAGAATTACAGATGTGCTGGATGTGGTACTAAAATCAATCAAGGTATAATAATTAAATCTTAAAAAATTAAACTGACATTGCAGTTATAATTGTTAGTTCATCATCGTTCTTTTTAACAGGATTAATCAGTAAATTTCGTTACTGTGAATATCTCGGTAAATACTTTTGTCATTGTTGCCACAACAATGCCCTTGCTTACATACCCGGACGAATATTACATAAATGGGATTTTTCTAAATATCACGTGTCAAAGTTTTCCAGTGACTTATTGCAAATGATGTTCACAGATCCTCTCTTCAACCTTGCGGACATCAATGCCAACCTGTATCGAAAAGTCCGTCAGTTGAGTGTGATACGAGAATATCGAACCCAAATGTTCTTTCTTAAAGATTTTGTTCAAACTTGTCGTAAGGCTAAAATGTAATTAGCAGATGTATATATAAGATTTCCTTATTGAAAATAATCTTTTACATAATTCAAAACATATTTTTTTTATTTCCAGTTTACAGGAGGAGATAAACAAGTATCCAGTGCACCTCTTCAATGATCCTGAAGTTTATTCTATTCAAAATCTCATCAATGTAGGGAAAAGAAAATGTTTTTTAAATTTTAATATTTTTTTTCAAGTAAACTTTTTAATGAAAGTTCAAATTTTATTATAGATTAAGAATAGTGAATTGTCTCAACAGCTGCATCATTTAGTTGGGAAATGCATCAGTCATATTACTCAGTGTACATTATGTAAAGCCAAAGGTTTCATTTGTGAGATATGTAATAATGGAGATGATATAATATTTCCATTTGAATTGTCTAGAGTTGTTAGATGCCAAGGTAAAGGATTATATTTGAATTTATATATAATATATAGTTTGAAAACCTTTACATTTCTGCAGTTAAATAATTTAAAGCAGCGGTCCCCAACCTTTTTATCGCCGCGGACTGGTCAAAGTTTCATAATGTTACCGCTGCCCACTGAGGGGGGACGTTGATTGTTTATATTTTAGATTGATTTAATTTAATAATTTTAATTTAATTGTATTTAAACATGCCTTCAAAATAAAATACAGTTACACCAAAAAATGAATATAATGTGATTTAACATTTTAACTCACTAGAACGCTAAATCAATGAGAAGACTGAGCTTGTTTCATTGCAACGAGATGGTTCCCTCTGGGGGGTAATAAGAGACAATGACACCCGAAGTGTGTTTCTTATGTCCAGTTTATTCCGTTGTTTTGTCGTCCATTAAAAGTCACACAAACCCGAGGAAATACACCATAGTAAATAAAATGGAGATAATTTAATGTTCCTTGGGCGGCCCGGTACCATTTGATCCACGGACCGGTACCGGTCCGCGGCCCGGGGGTTGGGGACCACTGATTTAAAGTATACAAGCATTAATACAAACATAGGAATGAGAAAAATCATCTTTTTATTTCCAGTATGTTGGGCTTGTTTCCATAAAACCTGTCTTATCCCAGGAAAATGTCCAAAATGTATCCGAATTGAAGCTAGGTAAGTATTATTTTAAAATTTTCCATATTTAAAATTTTATTATAATTGTAATCAAATATATTTATTATTTAAATTGTAGGAAGAAGAAGAAAAAAGAAGAGGAAAATAATATATAAAAAGAAATTAATAATAATGTAAATTTTGTTTATGGTTATGTATATAATTATTGTATAACTTAAAGATGAAAAGTTTTGTTTGTAAAATATTTAGTGTCAAGAATATATCATCACGAAAATATCCTTCCAGAAAAATAATATATAAATATATAATTTACAAATTAAAGATGGCCATGTAATCATGAATTCTTAACAGCTGTGCTGTGTAGGAAAATGTATTTTTCTAATTCTTGTAAATAAAACTTGTTATACTAAACGTTGATGGATGAAGACATCAAAATATATCTGTTTGTAAATTTTAAGTTAATGTTATATTTATCCTGATGATATAATGTATCATTAGAATGTTTGTTTGTTGTGATGTATAAATTAAAAAACAATGGAAATATATTTAACTCATATTTATCAATATGTATATACAGTATATATTCAAAATCTGGAAATTTAGTAGATCGAAATTACAATTTATATTCGAAAAATAACTGCCCTAAATCCTTCGAACTTAGTAGGAATTTTTATGCTAACCGAAGAACACCTCATGTTGAACTTTTTTGGGTGGAATTTTGTAACGAAGGTCAAATATTTCGTCCCTGTCAATGTCAACTATTAATCAAAATTTCCAGGTTGTTCTAACTAATTTTGTAGAAAATTTTGATTAAGAAAGTTTCTAATCGATAATTAATTAGTTTAGTTAAACAAAACTTTGTTTAAATTTAAATTTTTCCGAAAAATATAAGTTTATTTTTTTAGAGATAGCGCCACTCACTTAATATATCTAAATTCCTGTAATTGAAGAAGTTGTTTCTTGATTGAGAATAAATTATCATAAATATAAACTTGTTCCGCGTGAAATATTAAAAAGAAGACGATCTATTTACCAAAAAAAAACTCCCAAAAACAGGATACAGAATAAGGCAGTACCGCGAAATCAACAGTTAAAATTCAATGGGGTACGCCCGAAATTTTTACTGTTAGTTTCTAGCAGGAAGGACGAGGTTAGGTTATTGGTTCAGCAATTCAGTAGGTAGCGTTCAATGAAGGAGGGGAAAAAACAATGCGGAAGGAAGATATTAACCAATGATATATTTTAGGATATCTAAATGAAAGCATCGCTTAGAGAATTTGTTCCTCTTAATCGCGCCATACATAATAATGCACGTCACGATGATATATGTATACTGTACATATTTGCTATGGAAAGTCAGTAAAGCGTTACGAAAAATATTCTTATCCAATTTAAAAGTCGTTTAATATCATTAAACTCGCATTAGAATTATTTTAAAGCATTCGAGTTAAATTATTTATTAAAAAAAAAATCTTTCTAATTGGACGATTTGATTTTGTTAGTGGATATTAAGTTTTGTTCCGATTCTTAAAAAATATTTTAATGAGTCTATTATGTAGTTGAAGATACGTCATACGAAAGCTTGTCAAATCTCATTACAATAGTTAATAGAGGACGTGGTCATTATGTCTTTAACCTGTTTGGCTTTCGTCAATGGATGCAATTTTAAACGTAGGAGCAAATGACCCATTTCTTATTCATACGTAACGTTTCTACTAATGTAATAATTTGATTTAACATTTTAAAATATGAATATTTATTGAAAATATTTATACTTATTTTCTTAAATTATAGAATGAATAAATATGATTTATTTACAAAATATTTTAACATTTCATACAATTTGATATTAAATTACAGTTTAATTACAAATTTAAAGATTTTCCTCTTGTTATTGTTTAATGAATAATTTAAGCCTTATTCGTAATATTGTAATTTTAACTTTTAAATACATTCACCTGCTTTATTTAAAAAAAATAGAATAATTCAACAACACAAACAACAATCACAAAAATAAAGAGGCGAGGTTTTCATAACGATGATGATCAATTTGGTTCATCAAAAACTTGTAAATTAAATGATTAGTATTCGTTTAAATATACGTTTCTATAGAAATTCAGGTTGATAGCATACAAGATGGCCTAGTCCTTCAACCTGGAAGTTGCTTGAGGGACGATTCCATTAAAAAAAAACAAAAAAAAAACACGTTCTTTGGTTTTATTTGGCTTTACACAGTTAATAAATTAACATATTCACCTTCTTGTATTCGTTTCAGTTATAAAAAATGATCATCGACAGTCTCTTGAAAACTAATAGTCTAATCTTCATAAAATAGTTTAGATATTTGTCTAAGTTGCAGTTGAGCAATGTCGGCATAGATTTTAAGATTGTATCCTTAATAACATTGCTTGTGGCCAGTTTATCGACGGGTGTCTTCCAGTTTTTTTTTCCATTCTTGATTGATATGTCAATTATATATTTAGTTCACTCGATATAGGAATTGCTAAATCAGAGCAGTTTTTATTTTTAGTCTTGTACTAAAAAGATCTCCGATGATATAATTGAAGAAATCAAATTGCAGCTCTATATGATACTCGGTTTAATGGCATGCAGTAGATTATTAAATAATAATTCACTTAAATAGTATTTTTGAAGATATAACTCATTGTAATTTATACTTTTAGCATCATTCAACATTCGAAACGATCTCTCTTTTCCGTCGAAAATCATGTTGAATATTATATTGACAATTTCATTCACGATCATTTTCAACATATCCATAAATGTTTTTTTCCAGTCGATTTTTTCTAGAACATCTTTTGCAACGTTAAATACATTATACTTGCTAATATCTGTGGCATTAGTATTGCCACTTTTATAGAAGCGATCACGAACTCGAAAAGATATTAACGCATGATGACGATAGCTTGGACTTAAGGTGTAAACGGATGCTGAATATAGAAGAACAATAAATGGAATTAATAATATCCTTTGATCTGTCATCTAGAAAAGCAGACAAAAAATAAATTAAGAAAAAATAGTTCTTCCAGGCTGAAAAAAAAATTTATTATTTTATTTCTATCAATTATCTTTTCTTTGATCTTCAATTTTTAAAGACATTATCTTAATATTTTGAAAATAAAAGTTACTCAGTTTTAAATATAAATTAACGACTATATTACGATTCATTAATTAAATGAAGCAAATTAATAATAATAAATAGAAATTTAAAATCAGTTTGCATAAATAATAAATAAATTTTTGATTTAATAGAGATAAATTTACATTGTCCGAAATTAAAAATTTAAAGTTAAATATATAATAAGTGGCTAATTAGTAAAATTAAAAGTTTTAATTCCCAATTCAAATATTAAAATATACGAAAAAGTGTTCACACTCATAAATTATATTAAAACATAATTCTTAACTCTATATTATATAAAAAATTTATTATATGAAGTAGAAACTTCATATAAAAGTAGAAAAAAAATTATTTAAAATTTCAATTGAAAATGGATATTTCTAAAACAAGACTACTGTACAAATCTTTAAAAGAATTAATTTAAGTCTATAATATAAAAAAAAAAAAAAAAA